CCTGTCAGGTCATCTGCACTTTGAAAATCTGCACGTTGAAAATTTGGCTCAAGGAATGAATTGCTTTCTTGTTTGGCGAACAGATAGATTCAGCTAGAACTTGCGCGAGCATGCTGGTGGGCGGCTCATTTGACTGTTTGGGGTTCTGCTGCCTACGCATGAAAACATATTCCTCATTACATGGGCCCCCGCGGAAACCGAATGTAAGTTTCAGAAGGCATGCAGCCATGTTGATGATGCTCCAACTGTTGAAACGGAACCCATTGTCTACAGACGCCACCTGCCGAGCTTAGGATTTGCAACACAAGACCCCAAACCCCCAAACCCTAAACTTACTGGGGGTTGGTAGGGCACAAGGGAATATAATCCCAACGCTACAAAATGTAATGCGGTATTCCTGACTAATGCCCAGTATGTAAGCAGCTTCGACCTCTGAACCCCACGGGGCTACTCAGGACCCACGATTCTACGTGCGCGCCACTTCTGCGGCGGCAACCTTGGTCAAGCCTGTTTGGGGTCCGATGCAGGAAGAGTCAGCATGAGTTTTCAAGCCTCTTTGCAAGATGAAGTCCTGGTTTAGATTGAAGTATCATGCGGGGCTCTAGGACTCTGTTTCCGGACTCGCTGTCTAGGCAAGCCAGCCTATGGGCGAACAGAAAAACCTGAATACCTTCCTCGTGCCTTGTGCATGTCTGCAAAGCTGTCTGAAGCACGTGCTCCTGAATGCCGAGGTGGTGCCTGGTTACACATACCAGGCGCGATGCAGGGCAGTTGAGATTTGTACTGGTTCCCACACCCATTGCCCGTGTCCTGGATCCCCAGAAGTGTTCCTGAAACATGTTGAATGGCCGAGCCTGTCTCATAGGCCTACCAACTTGCTCCGCTTTTCCAGAATGGTTATTTGTGGCAGAGGGGGCTTTCCGGTTTCAAGTAGCAGGATGTTCACGACTGCGGCAATGGTTTCAGGAACAAGCGGGGTAGCATCAGTTCCTTCGGCTAGTTGTCTCCTTTGTGGGGCGGTTTTATGGAACGGGCAAAGTATGATCTCAACTGTCTTCTGATTTTCTGGTGGTGGCGGCAAGGTGCCTGCGAGACCTCAGCTGCCGCAGACGAGACAGCACATGGCTCAGGCTACGAAGGTGTCTCAAGAGTTAGACCCTAGCTTTGGATGTTGACATGCGGCAGCTGGTCAGATATTGCGGAGTACAAGGACACGAGATTAGCGACTCCTGAGGCTTCTGCCTAACTCAGCTGATGAGGGAATTTCCTTGGGCCATGATGTGTTGCGGAAGCGCTTGATGGAAAGACCCTCCGCATCGCAACACAGGGGCCCAAACAATTCAAATAATCTTCCTTCGCATATTCTTTATGTAAGCTTTCATTAATTGTTTAGGGAAGACGGTAAGCTGTACATAAGCGCAAGGGTTTGCCTCTGTTTCCCCTAGGACACTGGACCGGCAGGGAGTGGAGTTGTGGTGCGAGAAGCACATGTTGCGCGTCACGGTTGGCTCCATGACCATAACCTTCGGTGCTTCCCACACCCAAACTTGAGCCCTAGTTGAGTTGTCCAGAAAGTGCCCGAAAACGGTAGTCAGTTGCATGCTGATTGAAGGAAGCTCACATCGGGGACCATAATTTTGCATGCATCCACTCGCTCGTCTTGGCACATGTGAGCTGGACTCTTTCAGGATCTACGTGCGTGCCGCACCGGCAACCCATTTGGTGATCCCGGCATGGTTGCGAAGCTTCTCGAGGATTGCTGCTGTTGAGCCTTGGGCGTAGGGCTCGTAGCTTTAAGCGTTGCAAGCCCACACCTCTTGTGGTTCCTTGGGGGGGATTAAAATCTGCTTAAGTGGGAGTCTCCCAAAATAAGGGATCTCTTGTTGGGGGTGGGGTCACCATGGCGAATTTCGTATATGGGGGTCTATGTTGGAGTCCCGCTGTTTATGCAAAACCAAATGTCAGGCCAATGTGCAGTGGGTGCCTGCTCCTCCCAAGACGGTGATTGCCAGAAGCCCAGCAGCTTTGAGGGCAATGCCTTTCAGAGTTGACCTGGTAGTTTCCCAAAACAGGGGGATCCCAATACAGACCCTAAGATTCTAGACGCCTATTCTGCGAGCTCCCCCGCCCTCCCAAAAGATGCTCATGATTTTGGGGAACTCCTCCACTTGTGCCTCCATGCCAGAGAAGCCTGCAGCTTTCTTCGCATGCGTGAAGCGCCCTTCTCCTTCCAGAACTGAGAGTAAAGCGGATCCAACTGCCTTGGGTGAATTTCGATGCGCCAAGCTCGACACTCTTTGAGCTTCGGCTCCTGCGCCCTGTGGACATCATATGAGGAGTTGAAGTTTGCGCTAGGTGCATCCGGGACAAGCTCCTATGCCTCCAAGGCCTTTCCGGCTTGATTCAGAGGAAAGGTTCAGGAATTGGACAGTGCCGCGTTAAGTGCGGCAGGAAACTGAGTTGATGGGGCGGCTCGTCCTCTTTTCTCAGGGATGAGGGATCCAGAATTGCCAGTTGAATGTATTCGGAGACACAAGGCTGGCAAGGTTTCAAACTTGCCCGGGATACTGGGATGCGCGTAACAGGGGGTCACCGCTTCAAGCCACCACGGTTTTTAAAGGTTTTGGACTGAATCCACGGGTAGTGTGCCCTTTTTCCATTCTGGGAGGTGCTGTGAGCTGCTATGAGGTTCATGGGCCGGCTTAAGTGAGGTTTTGCCAATGCGCATGCAGGTTATAGCTACACGTTGCCTCCCCTGAATGACCATGAAATCCAGGTGGGCCTATTATACAGGTCGCCTTCATAGGGCATTTTTTCCGGTTTCATGTTCATATGGGAAATGACGTGCTTAGAACCCCACTTAATCAGTACCCGTGACCTCTTATCTTCGAATAGTTCTACGGCAGTTTGGTCTGCTGTTCTCGAGGTGGGATCTAGACCTGGAAATTCTAATGGGGCCGTTCTGATGCCTGGCTAGTGTAATCCCCATCACCCTAGCAAGAACGTATCACCCCTCCTAATTAAAAGAAAGACTGATACCGAACGTCCTCCCTAAAGATGTACTGAAATTGTATTGGGGGTTTCCACTGTTAGGGGGGTGGAAGGGGGGGTTGTATTGTTTGGGGAAAGGGATTAACATAGGTGCAGCTTCAAGTTGCCCGAACTCGCGAACCTTAAGTCCTAAAGCCAAAATCCCCCAACCTTAAACCCTAATTCCTACACCCAAAACTCTTAACGCCTAAGCCAAATAGGCCTGAAACCCGAAACCCCAAACTCCGGCGCGAAGGTCCTTTGCCCCTCCTGCCGTGAAGTTGGACTGTCGTGCGAACAGAATTCAGGCGCGTGGACGGATTAAGGGATGCCGCATCCATTACGCAGTTTCAGAAGTCTTCAAGGTTGCCATTGCGGTAGATGGTGGGAGCGACTTCCTTGCTTCACTGCAGGATCATCCCCAGTAATTTCAATTTCAGCAAATCCGATTTCCGGCCCCCTCCGCTGCCGACGTCTTGGAGGCACCAGTACTGGGCTCGCCGTTCAAGATCTCTGAAAGTTGCTTGAAAGCAGGATACTATTCATTTGTTGCTGGGTTATGCAGCCTACTGACGCAGCCTGCAGGAAGCTACTGCGCTGGCAAGCAAGCCAGCAGGGAGCTGAGAAGTGAGCTTGGTGAGGCCCAGAGGCTGCTGCTTTTGCATGTTTCGTCCTGTGCCTAGAAAGAGCGAAAGGGGATCCGAGGTCCCCAGCAATTGCTCAAGAGAGCAGCGTATGAGCCCGAATATTGGCAAAGATGTCATCCCCTCACAACCCGGATAAGTTTCAGCAGACTGAACCCTCAAGCCAACTCAGACCTTTTCCCATGCGTTTAGGCTCTTTCATTAGAGTTATCCCGCTCTTCCAAAGCCTAAACCGTCTCCTCCTGTGGGGGGAAGGTTAGCAGTGGCTACAGTATCTGTCAAGCTTCCAGGTCCCGGCTGGGGCGATGAAGAACGTCGCCCCCAGGCCGGTATACTTGTTGGGGTTTAGGGGTTTAGAGCCCGAGAAGGTCGTAATTGGGTCATAAGTTTGGTTATGACCACATTTGACCACAATTGTATCAATCTACGACGCGCAGTCTTGAGGGATGTTTTGGGTGGAGGGTGATGATGGTACGTGCATTTTAGCGTCTACACAATATGCAAGCATGTTTCCTGTGCTGGTAGTGGCAAGGTTGCCTTATCTGGCCTTGCCTCGCGCACCCTTGAGCCTGTGTTTTTGTAATCGATGAAGCCAATGATCTATTTTGGGGAGCAGAGGTTAGTGCCAAACGCAAGAAACTGCTAGCCTTGTGGCAGTGCCAGTGCTGAACTAGTGTAGCAGCGGGCCAATGTGAAGTGGAGAGCAGGTCATTTGCGCCTGTGCTACCAGCGCCGGACTGCCGGGCTTGCCAAAGTTTCTGGCAGTTTCTTGAAATCGTTGGCTTTTGGGGGGTGCTTGGGGTGAGATATGGAGTATCTGAGAAGATATACTACATTATACATATATATATATATTACAAATATATATTTTGGGATTGCTCGCAGCGACGGTCCAAGCACAATGTTATGCTCTAGCATGCTGTTAGTCTGGTAGTCCCTTAGACCATCGAAGACAGATCGCCAACGGATTTTGGACGCTTCTGCTTTCTTTTTCCTTGTGTCTAGGACACTTGTCACTCCACTGTAAAACGTGTGCTCGCGAGAAGATTCCCTCTCCTCAGAAGTCCGCAGTAAGCGAGTCTTCCAGGAAAAGCCAAGGGCCCCTCAGGCCAGCAGCTCAGCTTTAGCGGTTCCCACCCACAGCTGCTCTGAATAAAATTGAGGAGCACACTGACTACAATCACATTCTGCCACTCCGAATGCTTCAGAACCTCCGGATATGCCTATTTGCAAGGGGGGGCTTTCGTGAGCACATCAAAAGTCAGCAAGAAAACAATCGTGATGTAGTGTGCCGGGCGCCTCCAAGCAAAGCGCTGTTTGGGTAAGGCCGCGACGAAGACCGTCGTGCACGCCCCGAGGCTCGAAGCTCTTTGCTGCCTGGCTTTGTGTAATAACAATAGTGGTAAAAGTAATAATCATGACAATAGTAGAAATAGTAATAATATTCGTAGTAATAACAATCGTATATAATAGTAAGAATTGCAATAATAACAGTAATCGTAATGATAATAAGTACTCCTAGAGACTCCTAGGCCCTCTACGCCTCAGAAGCCTCAGGTTGAATGCTCTCCCTGAAAAGCTACCCCTGGATGATCCATCATCTCCGCTACAAGCTGCTGACAGTTCGGTGGAATCCCAATATTACCCTACCATTACCCGAATATTAGCCGAATATTACTCCAATATTACCCTAATATTGCCCTAATATTGCCTCATTACTATCCTGAAACGCGCAGGTTCTAGTTGCGATAGCTTTTGTGCTACAACAACTATTGGCGTGGAAGATATTACAACTGTTACCGCTGCGTCCGATGATGCTGCTGCTATCTGCTGCTGCTGCTCCTCCTGCCCTGCTGCAAAGGCTACGGCTTCTGCTCCCGCTACTAGGAATATTATTGCTACTACTAGGACTGCTTCAGTTTTAGCTTTGGTCACTAAGGGTTAGCGTCGTATATTACTTGGCAGGTGCAAGGGGTCAAGCTCTGAAAGCTAGCCTTCTGTGACGCCTCGCTTGCCTGTAAAGATCCGGGGGGTGTTGCAATGATCCCAGAACTCTTACATAATTCCCAGATAATCCCAATATAGTCCCCGTATAATCCCCATATAACCCCTATACAATCCCCATACAATCCCTATATTATCCCCATAGAATCCCCATATAACCCCTGTATAACTCCTAGACACTAGATGTTGCAACAATCCAGCTGAGCAGGCAGACCTACCTCCAGGGCCCCGACTTTGCGGTGCCTTTGGACCAGGCATCTTTATTGGTTGTTAGTAGGGAAAAGGGGAATGCACTATATTGTATTATACGATATCATATTATCTTATAGTATGTAGAGGTAATATAGGGACAATGGAAAAGAAAATGGAAACTACTACGTCACGAAACGGTACATATTTGGCTTATTTGCAGGCTCTTGCTTTCTAGACGGTCTGTTCTTGGGCCTGGGTCTGCAGGCTTGTGTTTTCGGCGCGAATGATAGGCCAGATTTCAGACAAGTAGTATTTTATTTGGGCGGTACTATTGTAACCATTATAGATTAAGATTATATCCTCCTCTTGGGGTATATTATTTCATACACTGAGGTGAGCGTGGTGGGTTCCAGGACATCTCAAGGTTGGTTTTGCTTGGTTTATGACATGTGCAACTCATGTAGATGTGACGCAGCTTAAGGATAACCCTAAACCGCTTCAATCTTCAGAGCGCTGCGAGACCAAGAGCAGAAAGGTGTGACTGCCGAGTTGCCTGGAAGTCTTCCCACTTGAGCACCTCACTGCAGGTCATACCCTCAAAGTGGGTTTAGGGTTTGGGGTTAGCCATTCTCTCTGAAACAAGAAAAGGACTCTGATTTTTGGGGCTGTGCCAGCAAGAAATGACAGAATAGAGGCGACGGTGACACATACTGTTGCTACAGTTTCTTCTTTCCCCACACCCCAGAAGTTTTGGGTCAGAGATAAGGCGCAGGTTTCAGGAAGAGGTCTTCCCACCCGACCCTAAACCCTAAACCCTAAGCCCTAAACCCTAAACCCTAAACCCTTGAAGCGGCTTTTGCGAGCAGCCAGGGCGTGGAGCGGCTCTTTGCTCCGGAGGCGGGCCTGCTTGCCTTGAAGATTCTGGGCTGCTGTTAAGAAACTTAAATCAAGTAATGGGTATACATAGTAAATCTTAGGGACTTAAATTTTGCATAAGTGAGCTTTGGAGATTTCGTGTCCTGGACGTCATGTAGATCAGAACTAGTTGGCGGGCATGAGCAAGACTTCATTTTTGGTTCTTGCTACTTTGCATTTTGAGCGAGCGGCTGGTCTGCGTTTTCCTTCTCCGGCTAGCTTCCATGCCATCATGCACTCGGAAGAAGTGCAGCCGTTATTCTTTGAGAGCTTCGCTTTGAGATCTGGCGAAGCCGCTAGGATAGGACTTCTTGGCGTGTCCCTGGATGAACAGTGCTGGTCCTCTTGCGCAGATACAACTGCCCAACACCTAAAACCCTTAGCCCCCAGCCCTGAACCCTCTCCTCCTCACCAGAGGCACCCGGAACTTGTTAGAGGAGGTTTCTCTGTCAAGAATTCCCGAACTGGGATCCCTTGGGGGGAAGCCCTCCATGGGGGAATGGAGCAGCAGGTGGAGACTACCATATCATTTGGGGCTGAGGGCTTGGGGTTTAGGGACTCGGGAAGGCCTGAAACCTATCTAAGCCGTTATTGGATCCATGTTACTTACTTTCAGCTATCCAGCCCTAAGCCCTAAACCTTTTGGTTCCATCCCAGCCATTCTCGCTGCCAGGTCTTCCAGCTCCTTCAAGCCCAGAAGTCTGCTCCTCAGGACAAGCCGACTCGGAAGGTTTGGGCTTGCTAGGTATGGGTTTCCAAGAATGGGGGGGGGGGGGTGGGTCCTTGTCTGGTGTCTAACATGGTATATCGGGCCTCTACATGGGCCTCGTTTTGTTGCGGACATCGGATGTTTTGCATAGTAGGAGGCTTGGAGCCGCATACGTGCACAGTTTTGCTCCCCTGAAAACTAACCCCCAACTTATCCTAATAGTAAGCTAACCGATGTAGGCCTGTGACAACTTACAGCTCTAAGCTCGGGACACGCAGCGAGAGTTCAAGTCAGACTCCCCTTTTTCCTAACAGCATTCCCGGAATCAGAGCTCCGTCTGATACGGAAAATGCACGTTGTTTTGAGTGAGCTGTGTCTTACTCTAGTGACGTGGGAGGGGTTAGCCTTACTTTGGTGAGGACGCGATGCAGACGTCAAGTCAAACTCAGGGTGTCGTGTCTTCTTCTTCTTCTGCGGGGCATTCATGGAAATTCGGGTGCCGCTGGGGTGCGTTCAAGAAGGGCTGTATTGATTCAGCGGTATTCAAGGCCCAACGTGGAACAGGCAACATTCCTCCGCCTCGTCTTGCACTTTAGGTGCATTTTGCTGGATGTGCGCGATGCTGACCGCGACGTCGGCTTCATCGAGGCCCTTCTCTTGCAAGATGCTTGCGCGTTGCTTCCGCGCACTCTGGAAAGGGCAAGATTGTAAGATGGGTTCTGGTCTGGTGTCTATTTCATAGTCATTTCCTTGTCTGTTTGATTTTCCATTTTCAAGAAGGGAAGAGTGTTCTTATGCCTTCGCCCAGATTCCGTCAGTTGACAGCCTGCCTCACTTGTGAGGGAGGAGTTTGCTGCAAACAAAATCTGCCATTTTCGGTCTCTGAAAAGTACTGGAGCTTTAGGGTTTACTTACCTGTGGTTAGCTAGGAATGAAGGAATGAATCCTTATAGTAATCCCTGTATAACCCGTTCTAGCAGTTTCCAGATCCTATTCCATTCCTTCATTACCAGCTAGCCAAAGATATGTTTAGGGTTTGGGGTCGCCGAAAGATGAGGACTGCTCTGGCCTAGAGTCCACGGCGATCCAATCCTCCACGTACACAATCAAATTCTGGTTGCCACTTGATTCCCCGAAGCAAGAGGATCCATGCGCTGCCTGGATATTTCTTGCATCCCTCCATGAGTGACACTTATGGTTCCTCTTTTCTTGGTTGCCCTGAATGCAAGGGGCCGTATTCAACTGCGGCCCCAAGAAGGTACCCCAATTTTGACAACCTACTCGAACCCCCCGTGCGTAACCCTAGTTTCGATGTCATTTTCCGTGTGATTTTCTACATTATTCCTGGAAGCCCACTAGTACCCTAAGCCCTATACCCCCCCAAGATAAGTAACCTTAAGCCCTAAACCCAAAACCTCAAACCCAAAACCCTCTTCCATTTTCTTCTGCATTATCCCTATACAACCCTATATTCCCCTATAATATAGTAGCTTCCATTTTCTTTTCCATTACTCTTAAAAGCATCTTGAGACCAGGGCTCCAACCACGAGCCAACAAGCTTCCAAAACCCGCTTCTGAAGAGGGCGGGGATGCCCGGCGCGAGTTTTGGGGTTTCACGAAAGGTCAAGGTTTAGGGTTTTACGGGGTTTAGGGTTTCGGGTTTAGGGTTTGGGGTTAGGGACTTAGCGTGCAAGGTTTAGGGTTTAGGATTTATAGGGTTTAGGTCGGGTTTGGGGTTTAGGGTTAAAGGTGTCTTACAGGGATTCCGGAGGGTCATATAGGGATGTGTGGGGATATCGAAGGTGTCGGGATGTTACTACCCCAAGAATGGAGAATCAAATGCAAAAGCCCATTGGCAATGAAGTGGAAACTGGTGGTGTATGGGGATATAGGTTTAGGGTTTACCTGCTGGTTACGGGCAGGGAATGAAGGAACAAAAACATGAAAAGGCGTACGTTGTTTTCTCGGAGATTCATTGGGATTGAAAAGGGGTTACCGTGGGGATCCATTTCCCAATTCCCTAGATCCCAAACCCTAAACCCCAAACCCCAAAGCCTAACCCCTAGATCCTAAACCCTAAACCCTACGTCCTAAACCCCAAACTCTAAACTCTAAACCGCAAACCCTAATAGTATCCAGCAAAATTTCGGCTTCCATTCAGAGACAAGTCTTAGTGTTGAGAACGGTTTTAATGCCTTCCCTGTTCATTGGCAATGCACGATCTAGTTCATAGCAGCAGGGGTCCTGTTTCATGGTCTTAGAAGGCTTCATTTTCTATTCCCTGGAAGCTTTCTTTTGTGTTGTAGGGGGACTCTAGTTCTTGAGATAGAGAATAGCTTTTGTTGACCAAGTGTTTGGCGTGGATCCATCTTGGCGGACGTTGTCACTTTGCATTGCAGGCGTAGGGGGCTAATCAACATCATGATGGGGGTGCATGGGTGCGTGCCGCCTGTCAGAAACTCTCACATGCACCTATGTGCTAGACACCTTCCGCCGTTCGACGCGGCAATTTAAGACTCTTATGGAATCTGTGGCTTGAAGATACTTTTTGCTGGAGGCGTAGGGCATAGGGGTCAGGTTTCGTTGCTGCTGGGTAAAAAGCAAGCCTTTGGCGGCGCAGTGGGTTAATGCAGTCGCATGCAAGGGGCTTTCTTGAAATAGCTCAGCCCATTCTCATCTATCGTAGTGCTGACGTTAAACCGGGGTTATATTAAGTTATATTATGGGTATTTATTGGGGGTTATATTAGGTGATAATGGAAAAGAAAATGGAAACTACCATATTATTTAGGGTTTGGGGTTTAACTTCTCAGGTGCCGGAGCTCGTGGAGAAGTATCGCCAGGAGAAGCTGGTGGCGGAAGCCTCAGAGCACGAATGGGGATAAAGTGGGATAATGGAAAAGAGAATGGAAACAACTATATGGTATATTGGGGTTACATTGGGGCTATATGGGGATGATGAAAAAGAAAATGGAAGCTACTATTTCGGGTACTTCGCCTCACAGCAACGCGAGTGGCAGAGGATGCTGATAAGAGCGACCGTAGCGGAGGTACAAGAATGAAAGGTCTTCCGCGGTGCCACTTGTTTTGAAGAATTCTGTCAGCTTGGTGCCCGAATTTCAAGAGATCGGTCTCTGTGCCGGCTGCATGTTGGCGACCTGAGATACGTGGCCTTAAGCCCTGAACCTAGCCCCTTATCTGACCTGAAGCCCTCATAAGCCCTACGCCTGAACCCTGAACCCTTGATTCTCAACCCTAAACAATACTTGAAACGTTTTCCATTTTCGTTTTCATGTTGTTCTCTCTTGTTGGGAAATAAGCCCAACCCTGAACTATAGAAGTTTCCATTATTTTTCCTATGTTCTTTTCCGTATGATTCTCCGTTATTGGAGAATGGACCCTGAACCCTCATCATTAGTATATAATCCATATAGTATCCCCATAGTCCCTCCACATATATATATATACACATCTGTTTGTATACATATGTATATATATATATCTCTACACATATATATATATAAGCCCCTAGCTCCAGAACTCCGAAGCTGCTGCCAAGATCTTCCACTGCCAGTACTCGCTGCACCGGGGGCCCCAGCTGGAAGCCGAGTTGATGTTTTGGATTTTTTTTTTGACTTTTGGGGTTTAGGGTTTTGAGGGTCTTGGGGTTTGGGATTAAGGTTTGAGGGTTGGGGTTCTTGGGTCGCCTCAAAATCATTGTTCTGGGATGGTTTAGGGTCTTGTGTTTAGGGTTTAGGGAGCATGGGGTCTTGTGTTTGAGGTTCCGAGTCTCAGGGTCAAGTTGTCTTGGAGTTTAGGTTTTAAGCCTTCCCGGTTTCCTCCCACTACTGGACTTCACTGGGCTGCTGTAGAACTCTACATGGAGGGGCAAGGGGAATTTGCAAGTATGCCTATAACCCCCATACCCCAAACAAGTGTGGGTCTGACACTTTTCCGACATAAAGGAGCGACCTAGACACTGTACTAAAGATAAGTAGTCCCGATGTAGTACCACTACATGGGGGAGCAGGTTAACATTATGGTCCCTCATTGGCTCCCCATTATAATACGTCCGCTAATTGTAGTTGCCGGCCCGTCCCTCCAAATAAGACTATACCGCGGTTTAGGGTTTAGGGTTTCGGGGTTAAGGCGTTTAGGCTTAGGGTTTAGGGGTTTACGGGTTTAGGGTTCAGGGGTTTAGGGTTTAGGGGTTTAGGGTTGAGGGTTAAGGGCTGACAACTTTCCATTAGGGAACTCTTCGCCATGAAGGGCGTGGATGGGCATCTCCTGGCTCCAGGTTTGAACCGAACATGCATGAAATTTCAAAGCCCGAAATCCCGAAAGCAAACACCCCAACCCTGAAGCCTGAAACCCTGAACATTCAACCCCAAACCCTAATCCCTAATCCCTAATCCCTAAACCTTAATCCCCAAACCCAACACCCCCTAAACCCCAACCCCCCGAAACCCCAAACTCCCTAAACCCCGTAAAGCGCCATTTTGTGCACAGCGAGGTGCGCCAACTGGTACCGCGCACGGGCCGACGCCAAGCAGTCGGGACCTGACACGGACAGACTATGCCCAGTACAATGGATGAGGAGGGTTTAGGGTTGAAGGGTTCAGTTTTTAGGGCTATAGTTCTCGTGAAATAGAATGTCGGGTATATGAGGACCTTAAAATGGTTCTGGGGAGTTCCACGTTGTATCTGCTGAAGGAGGACTATATGTCAGGAGTTTTTGTAGGGATGTATAGCCAAAACCCTAAACGGTAAACCCTAGAGGGTTTAGGTTCGCAGACCCCTGACTTCCAGCCTCCCCCATAGCCAGGCTGGAGCCGTCCCGATGCGGGTCCTAGAAAGATTATACTTTCCTTCTAAAAACTGGCCACATCAGCTATAGTCTAATAAGCTCCATGAAGGAGTTGCGTAGGGGAGTACTCAAGGGGCTATTAAGTGAGATACTAGGAATGCATAGTGAGACTCCCACAAAAGGGTTGATGACTTGTTGTAGGCTTGTCGAGCGCCAGGGTCGGCGGTCGAACGTTTGCGAGCCTTTGAGGGCAGTCCGTAAGAACGTTTGGCTATGCTTTGGGAAGCCGAGAGCAGCTTCCATGGCAGGGTTTTGGGGTATATCATCATTCATGGAGCGCAAGGGAACACTGTTCCCCGCGCCAAGCTACTCTGGATGGGTTGTCCGTATGGCCAGACTTGCCTCCGGCAGAAACGCGCGCCACATGGCGTAGGTGTGAAAAGGCTGAAGTCACAGTTACTGGTCACTTCAGTTTCAAAGTCACCCATAGCCGCCATGCCAACGCGACCATGCCACACCCTGCCTTTCATAAAAGTGCACAGCAACAAGAGTCTCTACCTTACTGAACGGATTTTCTGACAGATCCAAAGAAGTTCCATGTGCAATCCTCAATGAATTGCCCTGCGCCCCCTTTTTTTGTATAAGCATTATACACAATGCCCATATAACACGAATTGAGACCCCTGTAATCCTCTTATAATCCCTTTCAAAGGCACCCATAAGGCGCGTAGCCATCCTCGATGGCGGCTTCCGGGGATGGGAGAGAGCCAAGTTCCCTGCCGGGCGCCCCAATGAGTTTCTAGGGGCTAGGGGCTTCGGGTTCGGGCTTTAGGTTTTAGTGTTTGGGGTTTAGGGTTTGGGGCTTTAGGGTTCGGGCTTTAGGTTTTAGGGTTGAGGGTTTGGGGTTTAGGGTCTAGGGGCTTTGTGGCTTGGGATTCAGGATGTTCGGTCAGACCTTTGCGAATGCAGAGGCCCAAGTAGTTACCAATATTATCCTCTTACTATATCTCATATGCAACTATACAAAAAACATACCACCAAACCTCATCCTGATCATTGGGCCTAGTAGCTTAGGCCTGTAAAAATGGTTTGGGCTTTTCCTGACCAGCTCCTAGATCAGGTTGCGTTCCGCACACATGCAGCTTATCCTCATGGGCTTTCCTTTTCACAGGATTTCGGGAGTGTATGGGGATCAAAGTGGGATGTATAGGGAGGATAGGAATGTTTTGACAAGGTCCCCCTTAGTTTGGGGCTGCAGAGGAGGGCCGCTGGTGAGCAATCTGAGGAAGAGGAGGGATTCGTCGGAAAGGCCAGTTGTAGCAGCATCGCGTATGATGGAACCATGGCAACGTGTTCCCAAGACGTTTGAGACGAGGCCTGTCGAGTTAAAATCCTTTGGGAGTTTTGGTTCCAATCCATTAATCTCCGCCCTCCCCTCGCCAATGAAACCATCAGTCCCAATCCCTAAACTGTACGCTCCGAATCCGACACCCTAAGCGTGAAGCTGCAGGTCATTCGCGAGCGCCCGGTGGACATGAAGATGCAGGCGAATGCATGGGCAAAAACCTGCATGATCCTGTTTCCGTCAAGCATTCCAACGCGCTAGGCGTCATGAAGTCATTGAGTCACCGCACCCTGATTACGTTCCCCCTGCCTCTCATAGCAAATACTCCTAGTATAGTATCATTATATACAGCGGGAAATATTGTAAGTGCTTTCTCCCTAAATAGGGGGACCCCAATATAAACCACTAAAATAATTACTAGAGTCATTATAGGAGCACTATTTGACGTACTTTCTTTCAAGTATTTTCCCTAAATAATTAGGTGACCTGCAAGGCCTGGCTCAAGGAAGGGGCTTGGCCTGAGTCCTGAGTTCAAAATCGGTTTAGGGTTTAGGGTTTAGGGTTAAGGGTGGAGTCCCCACTCCCCATACCCCCCACTCCCCATACTCCCCCTACTCTCCATACTCGGATGATTGTAGAGCCGCACCATCCTAACCGGCGGGCCCTTTTTCTGCGCTTGTGACTGAAAGTATCCGTGTGTTTTGGGTGTTTTTGCTGGCAAAAGGCTTGAAAATGCATATGTTTGCGCAAAGAAAAGAACTGCTCTTGAAAGCTGGGATGTGTTATTTGGGCGGTAAGAGTATACAGGGGACTTTCAGGCATTTCTACTACTACTACTCCTCCTCCTCCTCTTGCTGCCGCTGCTGCTGCTGCTGCTGCTGCTGCTTTTACTACTATAATTTACTGTTAGTACAGCTATGCCTGCCATTATTTTTTTTTAAAGTGCTGTTGTTGCTCTATGTGGGTCCTCTCCTCAATCCTCGAGTGTAGCCATCGTGCTGTGTTAGCTTCGGAGATGTGTTTGTCAAGCTGTCCGAACACGTGCCAGTTGGCTCAAAGAATGCAATTGCTTTCCTTTGTTAAGGCGGGAGGTTAGATTCACGCAGAACTTGCGCGAGCATGCTGGTGGGGGGCTCAGTTGGCTACTTGGGGTTCTTCTGTCCGCGCATGGGCACCATGGTCTTCATGACCAGAGCCCCCCAAAGAAACCCCTTGTAAGATTCAGAAAGCATTCGACCGCGTTGATGTTGCCCCGTCTATTAAACTCGGACCCATAGCCTTGAGACCGCAACCCACTTTTTGAGATGCTTGGACATGCCCCCTCAGCCCCCTGAATCCATAACCCCGGAACTCTAACACATTTCTCGGGACCGCCCAGGACCCACGATTCTACGTGCGCGCCACCCCTTCTGCTGCACACTTAGCAAGGGCTCTTTGGAGTTCCATGCTGATAGAATACGCTTGAATCTATTGCGGACCCCGAGTACTTTCTGTCCAGACTGGCAGTAGTAGGCGAGTCAGCTTCTGGGCAAACAGACAAAGTTGAAGATTTCCCTCTCGTGCTTGTGCATGTTTGAAAAGCTGTCTAAAGCACGTCGTGCTCATGAATTCTCAGGTGGTTCCTGGTTACACATACCAGGCGCGATGCGGAACAGTTGAGAGTTGAACTTGTTCCCGCGTGATGAACGCGTTCTGCCGTTCTGCCTGTTGCCCGTGTCTTGTACTGTTCCAGAAGGATTCCTGAAACATGTTGAATGGCGAAGCCTGTCCTATACCTATGTGGCTTTTCAATTTTATCTGCTTTTCCCAATTTACGTGGTTATTTTGCACCGAGGTGGCCTTCCGGCTTCAAGTAGCAGGATGTTCGGGACTGCAGGAACGGTTTCAGAGAGAAGTGGGGTAGCATGGGTTCCTTTTGGCTAGTTGTCTCCTCTACGGGGCGGTTTTATGGAAGATGCAGACTATGATCTCGATTTTCTTCTAAGTTTCTAGTGAGAGGGCCTTGAGCTCGCTGGCGGCGAGGTGCCTGCGAGGCCTCAGCTGCCGCAGACGAAGCAGCAGCTGGCTCAGGCTACGAAGGTGTCTCAACAGTTCACTCGGGCCATGATGTCTTTCCGGGAGCGCTGTATGGAAAGACCCCAGCAGCTCAGCACAGGGACCTAGATGAATACACCCATCTTCCTCGTTTCGTTATTATTGATGTTATTAGAATAACCTATGACCCTGATATAATCATAACAGAAAATATGTTCAGGGAACAAACTGACATAAGTGTACATGGGCTTCAGATTCGGCGTGCTGTAGATTTTGGAGCGCTTGAAGCGAAGAGCGTCTCGAGGGAAGCCAGTAAGGTAAGAGCTACGACGAATTGTAACATTGGGCAATCCTCCATAGAGCGTTTAGCGAAGACTGTGAATGGGGGTTTCCCCTTTTTTTTCGGTGTTGATGCAAAAAGGATTACAGTATTTTGAGGTCTATACTGGGGTCCCCCTATTGTCAGAAACTACCAAACCCTAGATGAACTCAAAGGTTTGTCTCAGTTTCTCATGGAACACTTAGACCCCTAAACCCTATATAACAAATTATATTAGTTTCCATTTTCTTTTCCATTATCCCCATATACCCCAATACAACACCAATATTACCCCAATCCAGGGGACCAGCAGGGAGTGGAGTCCGTGGGGCGACAAACAAATGTGGTCCGTGCCAGCTGCATGACGAGAAGCCGTGCGGCTTGGGTGCGTCCCAAACCCAAAAATGGGGGTTTCCCAGAATTAAGGGTACCATTGTGGGGGTCCCTATAATAAGGACTATAGTATTTTGCGGTCTATATTGGGGTCCCCCTATTTTGGGAAAGTACCAAATTTGAGTCCCTATTTACCCAGAAGTGCTCGAAACCGGTAGTCAGTTGCGGCTGACTGTAGTAAGCTCACACCCGGTACAATCATCATGGCACATGTGAGCTGGACTCTTTCAGGATCTATGTGCGTGCCGCACCGGCAACCCATTTGGTGATCCTGGCATGATTGCGAAGCTTCTCGAGGACTGCTGCTGGTGAGTTTTGGGCGTAGGGCTCTCACTTGCAAGCCCACCTGGGATACCTCTGAGCTATAGTCTAAACTCATTCAAGCGGGCTATACAGGAGAGCATTATGGCATCATTGTGGGGGTTATTAAGGGGGATGCTCGGAGTTCAGACTATAGCTCTGTTAGGGTTCCTAAGGGGGGGCAGTTCTTCTCAAAAGCCAGGCCAATGTGCAGTGGGTGCCGGCTCCTCCCACGGCAGTGGCTGCACGGAGCTCAGCCACTTTGAGAGCAATGGGCAATTTAAAGCGACCTCACCCGACCTCACCCTAAATGGTGGTTTACATAGGGAGTAATACCAAAATGGCCTTAAATTAAATTGTTTGGGGTCCCTATAATAAAGGTTATAGCATTCTGGGGTCTATATTGGGCCCGATTGGGGCCCCCCTTTTTTTGGGAAACTGCCAGCTGCCTTGGGGTGAAGTTCGGCCTTCAGCCATACCTAGCTCGACAGACTTTAAGAGTTGGCTCGGGGAAGCCACAGGTTATGCCCAAAGCTAGGGCTGCCCGTGGCATTATTGCAGTGCATTCTTCCCCCGGCCCGTGTAAGATGAAATGCGTCCCAAGCTACGCTTCTAGCCTGCAGACTGTAGACCCCGTGGTGTGTGGTGTTGAAGTCTGTGCTAGGTGCATCCCGGACAAGCTACAATGCTTGCGACGCCTTCCCGGCTTGATTCAAAGGAAAGGGTTCAGGAGTTGGACGGGTGCCGCGTTCAGTCCTGCAGACTACGGAGTTGATGAGATTTCTCGTCCTTGCTTCGCAGGGATGGGGGGACCTAGAACTGCCAGCTGGATGTATGCAGTGACGGAGGGCTGGCAAGGTCTCAAACTGGCCCAGGATACTCAGATCCGCAACTAGGGGTTCATCACTTCCAGCCACCACGATTTCTAAAGGTTTTGGACTGAATCCACGGGTAGTGTGCCCTTTTTCCGTTCTGGGAGGTGCTGTGAGCTGCTGTGAGGTTCATGGGCAGGCTTAAGTGGAGTTTTGCCAATCCAGACGCAGGTTATAGCTACATGTTCCTTGGCCTGAATCCATGTGGGCCGGTTATGCAGGTCGCCCTTATAAGGCATCTTTTCACGTCCCGTGTTCTTAGGGGAAATGGCCCGGCCCGCGTAGAATTCCCACAGAATCAGTACCCATGACCTCTTCGAATAGTTCTACAGCAGTGTGGTCTGCCGTTCTGTCTGCTGTTCTCGAAATGGGATCTAAGATCACCCTAAAGAAGAACTAGCCACTCCCTGATTAAAAGAATGTTCTCTAAAACATGATGATGTTGTATTGGGAGTTGCAGTGTCAGCGGGGTGGGGGGTTGTGTTGTTCAGGGAAGGTGATTACATATGATTAGCATAGGTGAAAGTTCGTGTTGCCCAAACTCCGATGCGAAGGTCCTTCGCACCTCCTGCCATGAAGTTGCACTGCCGTGCGAACAGAATCCAGGAGCGTGGACTGCAGGGATGCTGCGGTAATTATGCAATTTCAGAGCCGACTGCTAAAGGCTTACAGGCTGTTTGATACTGGGACCTATTGCATTGCTTCACTGCAAGACTTTCCCCAATAGTTTCAGAAGTCTTCGTTGCCCCATGCTCTAGACTCTAGCTACTCGTGGTTCGCGGCTTGTGGGAGTGGAGCTATCGCACAAAGTATGTCGCATGGGCGGGGTCATCCAACATGTGGCTTAGGCCAATACCACAATATACCACATCATGGCTACGGCTCAAACCCGAGCTTGTGCCCATAGCGAATTGCAGGTTGGGCCATCATGTTGCCTGTATTTCTGAACGTCTATGATGTCACCAAGCGCGACTCAGTCAAGATGCTGAATGCCGTCCTTGCGCACTGGTGGGCTCCCGTCAAGCTGGGCGGGATCTTCCATGTAGCTGTTGAGATTAACGGCATTGAGTGGTCGTTTGGCAAGACCTTTTTGATCTCACGACCAGGCGTGTTTGGCGTTCCGCCAGGGAAAGACCCAAGCCATAGCTTCCGAGAGAAGCTATTCCTTGGATACACAACGTTATCTATGGAGCAAGTTTCTAGCATCCTCATCGACATGATTGAGGAGTACCAAGGACGCGATTACGACACGCTGCGGCGGAACTGCTGTCACTTTTCCGAGGACCTCTGTCAGCGCCTTGGAGTTTCCAAGCTGCCTGACTGGGTCTATCGACTGGCTAGAATCGGAGAAGCCGCAGCAGACTTTGTGAACGAGAGTATGAATGACAGCTGGTCGGAGCGACTGCAAGAGATGCTCCCAGAATCCATTTCATGGGTATGGGCCAGTTGGAAGACATCCAGCGAGGAGTCTTCCACCAAACCTCCTGTAGAAGGTGCGCTGCCTGTCGACCCTGGAATGGCCTACCCACCCTTGTGAGGGGGGCCTTCTTGCTAGCATAATGTCCTCAACCACTGCGTTTGATGAAGTTGCAGGCAGCGCAAGTCCACGACAATGGCTGAAAAGCATGCCCTCATTGTGCATTTCGAAAAGCCATTCAGCTTGCTGGACATTACAAGAAAATTACGGCATCAAGTCAGCTTTCGCATATTGACTCGCATGAATTTAGAGTGGTGGGCTACACATGCCTTGCACGCATCAGCAAATCATTTGCCAGCCTGGAAAATTGCCTTGGATGCATGTGCAACTCATAGTGATGCCTGAGCTTTTCTGATTGTTTGCAAATGACCACGGCCAATTTGGGATAATTTGGGACTGTTCTTGTAGAAGCTATAAACTACACATTAGGGTTTAAGGTGTGGGGAGCCTCCTGGCTTACTGCAGGAAGCTATTGCGCTGGCAAGCAAGCCAGTGGGGAGCTGAGAAGTCCGCCCGCTTCTACAGAGAGGTTTAGGGTTCAGGATTTAGGGTTGTTTCGTCCTATGTCTATCTAAACCCTAAACGCTAATCCTAAAACCCAATCCTTAACCCATCTTGGCATCTTAAATCCCCAAGAGTTTCTCAAGAGAGCAATGTAGGAGCCTGAATAACTGCAGATGTCATCCCCGTACAAAGCGGATAAGTTTCAGTAGACTCTACCATCAAACCCTTGCCCAAACATTTGGGCTCCTTCATTAGGGTTTGTCCTGTTCTCCCTAAGTCCTAAACCCTAAACCCTAACCCTACACCCTACCCTTTTGTTTGGGAAGATGTTCAGGGGGCTACCAGTGAGGTCCAGGCTCCGGCTGGGGCGATGAAGAACGTCGTCCCGAGGCCCGTGAACTCATATGAGCTATAGTCTAAACTCCTTAAAGGGGGGTTATATAGGGGAGTATATAGGGGACTACTATCGGGGTTTATTAAGGGGGATACTAGGAGTTTAGACTATGGCTCATATAGGGATACAGGGTTTAGAAGTTATAAGGGTTTAAGGGTATATTGGTTTAGGGTGCAGGGTTTAGGGATACAGGGTTTAGGGTTAGGGTTTATAGGGTACTGGGTTAAAGGGTACAGTATAGGCTCTGTCGGGTATAACAGCCCAATCAAAGCCTCTGACGTCTCCAAGAGGGGTCATCATTGCGTTTCGACTGCATTTGGGAGTTTCCCAAAATTAGGGTCACCTTTTTGGGGCTCACTATAAAAAGGATTATAGTATAGTGAGGTCTATATTGGGGTCCTTAATTTTGGGAAACTACCTTTAACCACAACTTTATCGGCATGTAGCAAGGGTTCAGAGGGTCAGGACTTAGGGTCGAGGGTTCGGGATTAATTTGGGAAATTGGAGAAAATGATCTATTGCAGAGAATATTCAACGCAAACCGCGAGCATGTTTCCCCTGCAGCTACAGCGTTTCCTTGCCTTGCCTTGACCGCCCTTGAGTCTTTGTTTTTGTCATCGCCGAAGCCAGTGTACTTTGGGTGAACGGAGGAGAGTGGTAGTACCAAAAACAAACTACTACCATCATGGCAGTACCAGTGCTGAACCAGTGCCCTAGCAGTGGGCCAGTGTGAAGGGGATCTGTGATTGGAACAGGTCATTTGCGCCTCTGCTTCCAACGCCGGGCTGCTGGGTTTGTCGAGACTCCTGGCTGTTCCTTCCAAAGTCATGTATTGTTATTGGGTTCCGATGGGACCAGGAAGGGAGTATGTAGACAGATACCAGAGATTATTGATTATTTGGATCGCGCGCAGCGACGGTCCAAACGCTATGATCCTGCATGCGGTTAGTCCCCTGGACACGGATCGGCAAATGAGTTTAGATGCCTCTGCTCGCTTTTTCTTCGTGTCGAGGACACTCATCACCCTAGTGTGTGTGAACCCTAAACCCTAAACCCTAAATCGTCTGCTTCGGTTTTTCTGCAGTTGTGACAGTGAGAAGACAGCCGTTTGATTCCCGCTCCTCAGAAGTCTGTGGTAAGCAAGTCCTCCAGGAGAAGCCAAGGGTCCCTCAGGCCAGAAGCTCAGAATCATCAGGGTTATATTGGGATAATGGAAAATAAAATGGAAACTACTATAGTGTTTAGGGTTTAGGGTTTAGGGGTTATATTGGGATAATGGAAAATAAAATGGAAACTATTATAATGGAGACTCAAATGGAAATGAAAATGGAAAATGAAATGGAGTATATTGGGGTTATATTTTTAGCCTTAGTAGAATCTGCCGGCCAGGTAGCGGCGGCTTGCTAGCAGGATGCACGAGTAGACTGCCTATGACCACATTGTGACACTCCGAATGCTTCAGAACCTCCGTATATTCCTGTTTGCGAAAGAGGAGTGGCTTTCGTAAGCGCATAAAAGCAGCCAGGAAGTTATCGTTATGACCTGATGTAGCGTGCCGGGCTCCTCCGAGCAAAGCGCTGTTTGGATGAGGCCGCGACGAAGACCGTCGTTCACGCCCCGAGGCTCGAACTTCTTTCCTTCCTGGCTTTGTGTAATCTGTCTTCAAGCCCAAGCCCTCGACGCCTTGGATTGACTTCTATGACTCATCAGCTCCGCCACAAGTTGCTGTCAGTTCCTTGGCGATTGACTATGACTGTACTTTGAGGCATGCAGGGTCTACCAAGGTCTACCCCTAGCATCGATGCATGTCGTTACTGGCTTTACAGCTATGTTGATGACTGTTGTGGCTGATGGGCCTGTTCGTACTGCTACTACCGCGACAACTACTAGTATGAAAATTGTTTTTTTAGATATTGCAACGCCCTGCTGGAGCTCCAATGGCTTCCGCTTCTGCTTCCGCTTCTGCTTCCGCTACTGCTACTACGGATGCTTGTGCTACTGAGTCGACGAGGGTGAGCATGGTACAACGCTTGGCAAACGCAAGGGGTCAAGCTGTGAAGGCTAGCCTTGCGTGATGCCGACTTGCCTATAAGTTGGGTACTGTTGCAGTTACCACAAGGGGTAATAGGAGTTATAATAGCCCCTTAATAAGGCCCCCCTTTAAGGACAGTTACTGGGTGAGAGAATGACCCAACCTGTAAGATCCATGAGGTGTTGCAATAATCCATAACCCCTAGGGTTATAGTCCCCATATCATCCCCAGATCCCGGGAGGATCCCTGTACAATCCCCATATGGGTTTTTCCAGTAATTGGGGGTCAGGAATTCATGACAAGGAGCATGTGTGACCCCTCCGATACATACCCCGATACATACCCTGATACGTACCTCGATACATGCCCCGATAGATACCCCCGCAACGTCCCTTTTGTCAAGAGTCCGGTGCTGACGAAACATACCCGGACCCATACCCAGAAAACTACACCGAAACATACCCCGAAGCATACCCTAATCCAAACATGCATATAATCCTTATATAAGCCCCATATAATCCCAATTACTCCTATATAATCCCCATATAATCCC